ATATAGATTCTGAAGGAGAAGTAGCCAAGATAAAGTAATACAAGCATTCCCCTAGTTTAAAGCACAAACAACCATGGTAAACACAAAGAAGGGGAGAATCAAGCAGAACACACCTCCACCGAAGCAGCGGTTGATCAACAACAGGAACCGCAAGCTCGCAGATCCACCAACCTAGCAGATCCTAGACCTTGCAGAACAAGGGCAGCCATAGTAAGCAGCAACCTAGGCGACGAATGAAACCACATGAGGAGGAGCAAGAAGAACATACCTTAAGTACAGACCGTGGGTCTCTTATTTCTTTTATTTTTCAATGCCTGCAATAAAAAATGATGGGATAATGAGCAGCTGGAAATCAGATAATGTGCAGACTAAAGACTTTATATCGCCTAGCATGAGCACAAATGGAAATATATCAATGCCTGCAATAAAAAGTGATGCTACATGAACAAAACAACAGAAAGATTGTGAAACCAAAGTACAACGAGAATTATACTACTTGCATTTTATCAAACAGGTAGTGTGTATTTAATTCATACAATAGTGTTGGACACATCCCTCTACCAAATACTCTTCCTGTGTCCCTTCTCTACCCTCAAATCCATGTCCAAACCACCAAAATCAGCAAACATACACATTCTCATCCTATATGTTGTCTATTCAACAAGGAAACTAAATCTTGGACTCACCAAATTTCTCAGAGAACGAAAGTAATCCAACCAAATACACTGGATGTATACAGAGATCATGCCTACTCTTCTTCTTCTTCTCCTACAGGAGCACAACAACAGAGGAGGGGTTGGAGCCGGCCATGGTTGAGACTTGGGAGACGAAGGAGGCCCGTGGGGAGTGACCTGAGAGCGCCTCATCCGTCCATCGGCAACAACAACAGCATACGAACCGGATCCTCCGCCGCCTTGGCTCGTCGCCTTGCAGCCTCACCCGCCCTCACTGCCATCGCCAGGAGATGCCGCCGCAATGTTCTCCTCCGGCCAGATGTGACGAGGAGAGAGGATGTGTGGGGAGGAGAGATATGGCGGCGGCAGCGTATCGAGAGGATGAATGGGGAAGGAGAGGTGGCGGCGAGGCATGGCTGGAGTAGGACGGGGGATTGATGGGGAGGAGGGATGTGGGGCTCGAGAAGGACGCGGGATTGGTGGATAAGACGCCCACGATCGGCTCGGTCAATCCCGCAACCCTATGAGGCCAGAAGACCACAAGCGCCCCGCAACCACGAGACCGATAGATGGGCCCGCTGCGGCTGAAGCGGAGGGGTCGCCGCTGGGTGCAAACGAGGGCGGTGAAAAAATGCCCTGCCAACCCACGAACGACGCTCGCAACCCACGATCAATCGCCCCTGCTTTTATCTGGACACAGACACACACACACTGTGTCGCTGCAAGGCTGGCCCGCGCAAAAGTCTGGCCCATGCGTCAGTGGCTGTAGCCCGATTATGCCACGTACATAAGAACGAGCGACGGGATTTTCACCAGGTCGACAGAAGGTACGCTGACCATGGCCAGCAGTGCAGATCGAGCGTATAGGACCAGTTTCAACCGGTGATGGCGTTGGAATGGCGGGTTGGCTAGCGTGATTTATATGTTCAATTGGTCGCGAGAGACAGAGGGGACTCGGCCGAGGCGGACGATTCAGGGCTCGCTGCCGCCACGAACGAGAATGATAGAGAGAGAGAGACAGAAAGGCGATGGCAATAGAGACGGCGGGCGAACACCTTTTCCACGATTCCACCCCTCTCTCACAGCGCGAACCCTATCGGCCGCGGCGGTGGATGGTGATAGGCAGGAGACCGAGACAGTTCATGGCGTGACGATGAGCTTGGCGGACCTCGAGCGGTGGGGTTGCCCTACCTCCACAGCAATCTCACCTTCCCCTGCAGGTGTGAGGAGGAGCGGTCCTCTCACCACACAACGACGACCCATCCCGACCGAGGTAAACAACCAGGAGCGCGACCTGGACTGGATAACTATCCTAAGAGCATCTCCAATAGCCGTGCTAAACAAGTACCGCGTCGCAAAATTCTCATTTTAGCGCGCGCAAACGGTATAGTGATTTCAGCGAGCGCGTAAAAACCGCGTGCACGGCATATCTAGTTCGGCGCGCGGGCCGAAACTCCATCGTGCGCCGCTTATTTGCTGCGCCCGC